ACATCCTAGACTTCCAACCACAAAATACAGTGATCGGACAAGCCATGTGGAGGGGAATCGTCTGGACGTAGCCCAACTGACGCAAGAAACGCATAGGCATGTACAGCTCCACAATATCCCGGTACCTAAGGCATCCGGAATAAAGGGTCCTAGGCTCTAACACATGTGGGTTGGGGCCGTATGGCTGCCAGTTTACCTGTTCACAATTGCATAAAACATTTATTCAAACAATTTGAGTATTCTAAATAACTTTCAAGTATTTGTAAATAAAATAACTTAAAGTACCTCGGCGGCTGTGAGTTTGTCAAGCTGCCTACGGAAATGCTTGAGGCGCTTATCTGAGTTATCTGGGACGGGGGTCCTCCACAAGGCTGATAGGGCTAAGCTGCCAGGCTCGGAGGCCATACGCGAACCGACGGGTTGGAAGGTGGGGAAGTACTCGTATATCCAGGACTGCATGAGAGTCAAGCAGCCCGCCACTCCCCCTGACTCCCCCCTGCTGACCATACCTAAATGTCTGAATAGGTATGCCAGTGCGGCCGAGCCCCACGAGTAAGTCTCAACTCTCTGCAGGTTCTCCATCATCTCGTGCAGGATTTTGGGACTAACCCTGTTACCACTCTTGTCTGTAAACAAGGTGGTAGCGAGCAGCACCTACAGCCAGCCAATCGCCACATGCTCAGCCGACCGACCTGCGCCATTCTTCTCCAACGCAGTAAAAACGACTTCATTCGTCACCGAGCCGTGACCCCAAAAGTTCGCTATCAGCTTTTCCTGGTCCACCCCCAGGAGCTCCATGCAGTGCGCTTGTTGTGTCACGCTGTCGGGGTTCCCTGTGACTACGACACCGACGACAGGAACCCCCAATATGGCCATCACGTCGTGCAACATGATACTTATTTCACCAAAAGGTAGGTGAAACGAGTTGGTATCCAGCTGTCAGCGCTTCACAAATGCTGAAATAAGTGGAGTGTTGACGTGGTCATGCATGCTGGACGCCAAATGTGACAGCCCGGTCGGACGGATCAGATCTCGCAGAGCCTTAGCCATCTCTACGAGCCACTCCTTCAAAACGGCTTAATATTATTATTTTTATTATAAATTAATATAATTTTTTTTTATTATTTATTTTAAAAATTTATAGAAAATATATATTAAAATATTTAATTTATTTTTATATTTTATAAATATTCAGAGTATATATATTAATATTTATTTTCATTTTTAAGTTAAAAAAAAAATCTTGACCGCGTGCGGCAGCCGAAACGCGGCTTCCAGCCGCATAGACGGCCGCGCTCCGCGGCATAAAATGGGGAGGCCACGTAATGCGGCCGCAATCGCGCGCGCCTCTTCCGAACAGCACCTCAATCGCGGTGCGCCTCTCCCGAACAGCGCCGCAATCGCGGGGCACCTCTCCCAAATAGGGCCGCAATCGCAGCACGGCCCTAAAAAAAAATAATTTTTGTGTAAAATTAAAAAAAAAGTACGTTTTTGTTTTTGCTTTTTTATATTAGTAAGGATAAAGTGTATTTTTCAGGTGCGGTGGCTAGTGATTGGGTGCGGTATTTAGCGATTCAGTAAAAATATTTATAATTTGGTATCACAAAATTAACACTTACATAAAAAGTATTTTTAGGACCTACCCATTATTAGCTAATTTAAAATAGTGAATTGTGATAATGTTTTTCCAGCTCAATACCAAGATGCTATGTCAAAGAGAATATTAGGCTATGTTTGGTAGATAAATAAACTAGCAATTATAGTTTATTTGATTAGCTTATAAGCTTTCAGTATTTAAATAAGATTTGTTTGGTAGGACGAGCTTTTTTAAAAAGTTCTAGTTTGGCTCATAATTAAGCTTTTGTAGGTAGTTTTTCAAATAAGCTCGTTGAAATTTTTATTTCTGCTAGCTTATCAGCTAATTTTACCAAACACTTTTATCATATAATCTAGCTTTTCAAATATAAATCATAAGCTATAAAGTATAAGTTTGAAAGTTAATAATAAGGGTATAATTTAGTTTATCTACTAGTTTTAACAAACATAACCTTACTAAACGAATGATAAAAACAGAATATTTTATGTGTAAAATAAGCTATTAATGTAAAAAGTTTAAAAACTAAAAAAAATTGATTATATTTTATGCCAATTTTATATAGTGATTAGTATTTATTGAATTATCTCAACTAAATTCCTAGGCCCGTCGTTGAACATGCCTAATAATTTTTTTCTTTGATTATTCCCCTACTTCTCATTTGGTCCACTAGCTAGCATAGCAATTAGCAAGTCTGGTGAAGGAGCTAGAAGATATTTCTCCCTCAATGTCATTTTGCATATATTCGAATTTTGGATACAGCATTATTGATTTATTTATTTATTTAAAAATAAAAAAAATTAAGTGAACAAAAACCAAAAAATTTAAAAATATGTGGACAAAAATCAAAACCACATATTTTGAGAATACATTTTAAAAAAATTAATAAATAAAACGTATTTTGGTTAACGTTTTACAAATAATTAAGAACTAAACAAATAATTAAAAACTAAAACGTATTATTCAAATACGTTTTATTTCTTAATTATTTATAAAACGTTTAATATATAAAACGTATTATCATAATACGTTTTATATTTCAAAATTAATGAATAAAAAAATTAATATATAGTATGTGTTTTATGTTTTTGGTTTGTTTGGGCTCGTCTGAACTCAGAATTGAGTTCCGTTTTTTTCTATACGTAGCTAACGAACCCCTCTATTCAATGATGCTTTCATGGCTAAATTATGTTCCAACAAAAGATCCACCCCCTATACATACAAATATGTTGATCTTTTGTGCACTCATCCGGGAGAGTAGGTCCCAAGGAGGACTACGTCCCATCCCAGAGTTCACAGTCACACAGAGCGAGGCATCAACCCGATGCCAACATTGGTGGAGGTAGAAGACGCTATGACCGCGAACGACAACAACGCCCGTTCGGACTCGTCTAAGCTCGGAATTGAGTTCCGTTTTTTCCTATACGTAGCAAACAAATCCCTCTATTCAATGATGCATACATGACCAAATTATTCTTTAAATCATATTCTCTCAAAGCTCTTGACTTACACATTAAACGTATTTCGTGTGACTTAGTTTTTTGGGCCCGTTCGGACTCGTCCAAGCTCGTAGTTGAGTTCCATTTCTTCCTATATGTCACCAACGAACCCGCCTATGTAACCATGATTGCCCAGTCAATTTTTGGGTTAAATCTATTCCTCACGGAGCTAAATAATTAACAATTCACCCATTAACAAATCCTCCATGGACCATCTATTTATATAATGGGTGATTTGTTAATTATTTAGCCCATGAGGAATGATTTGTTAATTATTTAGCCCCGTGATGAATAGATTTAGCCTGAAAATAGATCAGGCAATCATGGTTGTGTAGAATGGTTCCTTACGACATATAGGAAGAAGCAGAAATTAATTTCGAGCTTGGACGAGTCCGAACGTGTCCAAAAAGAAAAGTCGCGCGAAACACGTTTAATGTATCAGTCAAGAGCTTTGGGAGAATATGATTTCAAGAATAATTTAGCCATGCAAGTATCATTGAATAGAGGGGTTCGTTAGCTACGTATAGGAAAAAACAGAACTAAATTCCAAGTTCAGACGAGCCCAAACGAGCCCAAAACACAAAATACATACTACATATTAATTTTTTTCATTAATTTTAAAATATAAAACGTATTATCAAAATACGTTTTATAAATACGTATTACCAAAATACGTTTTATAAATATATTTATAAAACGTATTTTGATAATACGTTTCATTTCTTAATTATTTATTAAATATTCTTAATTATTTTTTATTTCTTAATTATTTATTAAATATTCTTAATTATTTATTAAACGTATTATCAAAATACATTTTATTTATTAATTTTTTTTATAAGACGTATTATTGAAATATATTTTATATTATTTTTCCAATTATTTAAAAAAAATATTTTACAAATATAATTTTAAAACGTATTTTCATAATACGTTTTTAAAAAAATAAAATAAAATTAAAAAAACGTATTATGAGAATACGTGCTTTTTATTTTTGTCCACAATTTTTTTTTCTTTTTATTTTTGTCCAGTTATTTTTTTTTTTTTTATATATATATAAACTATCCCAACATTATTCCTATTTCCTCTATGAGATTAATTATTAGTTGTTTATTTTACTTCTAGATGAAATTCCAATGAAAATATATTCAAATAGAATTTCAATGGATATTTTTTAATGTTATTATTTCTTTTGTAAGTTTCCAATGGAGTCCAACGGTAATTCCAACAAAAATATTCCGTTGAATTTTGATGATTGTAGCGGTAGATTTTCCAACAGTGGCGGAAATAAAAATTCAAACGGAAATTGCATATTCTAACGAAAATTCCTATGGTAAAAAGCTGTTGAAAATATAGTCATTAGAATCATCAAATTCCATCTAAAATTCCAATGAAAAATAATTCCAACCACATACTTTTTCGTTGCCATTTGTTAAATTAACATACTTTGGACCATCGTTTTCGTTGCTAATTTATCAAATTTACTGCTAACTGATAGTTGGACCTTTGCATTTAAAGCCCCTCACGAGTAGTTAGCTGTCTTTGGACCATCCACATTTTGTTAAAGATTAATCTTAGTTAAATCAAGACTTATACTTCCACATCTATACATCCATATACATTAAATAAACAATACAACGAGAAGTGCACCATTTATTAGAAAGGGTAAAGAATATATGAAGTATCCAAATGAACACAATTATTTATCAAAGCAATTAAATGAAGGGAGGATCCGATCTGAATTTCCTAGGAAAACTAACTAAAAAAAATAAAAAAATGTTATCTTTTTAAACGTCCCATGTCCTTGAGTTTTACAACAGTCAAGGCTTCACATGCATAGATCTTCAACTAACAACAATGTAAAACGAAATATATATATATTTAAGAAACAAAGCAACTTTAATGTTCACTTATATAAATATATATGTAATCATATCATTTATGACTGAATTAGCACAAAGAAAATTTAAATTGCTACTAACACATTAATTATATATCACTTTGTGATACAAATAAAATCTACAATTGATCATCAATCGCCGAAATCTTCCTCCAAACAGCACTTTAAATTTCGGATCACTCGGCTGGCGAACCTTGGATATTAGACTTACTCGATTCCAAAACCCAAGAGTTCTCCCCATCTTTTGAGAGTATATTTGTAGGGCTTATTTGACTTTCTTTATTTATGAGTGACGAAAGAGCTGCGGCAACTGCGACCCTAAGCTTAGGATCGGTAGCAATTTGACTCGCATTTTCGGCCACCATTATTGGAGATTTGCTACCAATAATCCCTTGATGATCAAGTACTTTGTGCCCCATATCTTGTACCAAATGTCTATTAGGGCTAGCAAAAAGTTGGCTTAGAATGGTGTTACCATTGAAATTGGCTTGTTTAGGCATCCAATTGGAATGCCCTAGTGGGGACATGGAGTTTGAGGAGCTACCAACATTGTTTGTGAGGTCAAGTACAATGCCCCTTGTAGGGTCATGATGAAAGTTAGGGTTTAGGCCTCTTAGGTTTGGTATGTAATTAAGAGAGGAGGGATTTATGAGAAGAGGGCTATTGTTGATGTTGTGAAGTCCATACGGATAATGCGGATAGTTTAGGGTCGAAGGTGGCGTTCTATTGGTCGGAAATGGATGATTGTTAGCGTCCAACATTAAAAAATTGGCAGGACCTGATGCTGTTGATAACATTGATGCTGCACCTATTGGGAGTGGATGATTGTGTGTTCCTTCATATGTCGTGATTAGGATTGATCTGTCTTCCAGACATCGTTGGACCTGTTTTATGTACAAGCATTTCGTAAAAATAAATAAATAAATAAATAAATATCACTAATAAATAAAAAAAATTATATTGAAATTGCTTCACCACCAATTGGATTGTGACTAACTAGTAGAATTCGAAATCCAAAATATATAGTTGGTATAATTGTCAACAGTAAAATTTAAATTATATCCAATAAAGTGAGAAAAAAAATCCCAAATTGGGGAGAGAAGAATATTTACACACTAATTATATATAAAAAAAAAAAAAAAAAAGACGGGGAAACGTACCTGTTTTCTAACTGGGCAAGCAGGAGCTACAGTGCAACGATAATAGGCCCGTGGGCATGGATTTCCTTTAGCAATTTTTTGCCCGTATTTTCTCCATTGGCACCCATCATTCATCTACATAATAATTTATCCCAAATTACATCTAATTATCATAAATTACAACTTACCTACGAAAAAACACGCAAAATTACTTTACATCACCAATTAAATATCCTAATTTGGTTGAAATCACATTGTCAGAAAAATCTTAATTAGTGAAACATACATAAACTCGAGTTTTCTGTATTTTTTGATCTCATGCAAAACGTATCAATCAATTCCAAATAGACCTAGCAAACCTATAAGGGTTGCCAATATGTTATGTACATGTGTAGTAAAAGAACACATATACTAATTAATTAACAAGAAGAAGAATATTAATTAAATGCCGAAAGTGAAATTAAATTTCATGAACTCACTGTAGCTCCTTCACATCTCGCCCTCACAGAAACCCTAGCTCTTTTATTAGGCGGAGAATTGATCATCATATTATTGTTGATAAACCCATTCAAGTTGTTGCTATTTAGCTCACTTTGTATGGGCATAAACCTTCTCGTGGCCTCTTCTCTTTTTTCCTTTATTTCTTGGTGTCCATCAACTTCGACTTTAGTACTACTATTAGGGACCCTTAAAGATAACCCTAATTCATAGTCGTCATCATCATCATCAATATTTTCTCTAACATCATCTTCTTCTTGCGATGTTGATGCTCGGTCGCTATTTAATCCGGAAATACTTTTATCCGGTTCACCAGTGGCGTCGGCCTTATTAGGCAAGAAAACCATATTGGGATCCTAAATCAAATAAACAAAAAATTATTGTCAAGAAACTAGATATATGGATTTATCTAGTTCAAATATTCACACACCATAAATTCAAATCATCAGGAAATTAAAACTAGATCAAGTTGAAAAATTAATGTATATTATATTATAGCTATTGGCTAATGACTTACCTTGATCTTTAGAGCGTTTTTTTGAATCATATTATATTTCATCTGCAAGTTATTGTAATTTTTCATGGTCATCTCCACCGCGTCCCTTAGGAATTTATTCTCCTCTCTCATTCGGTTCATCTTCATCTTCATAATCGACAGCTAAATATAATAAAAAGAGAACAAGTAGTTATATATTATTAGCCTATGAAGTAATTCATTAGCATAATTCATTAGTATATATGAACTATATGATCCATACAACATGTAACAAAACAATCCATGG